GAACACGGCCACACAGCCCGGAAGACCCACACCAGCCATCTTTCCATGGAATCTGGTTCTCCACAGATAGAGAAGACTCTGGTATAAACAACTACTTAGAATTGATTTACACTGATCAACATGAAATTTATTGTATGATCATGGCCTGATTGCTCAGTAGGAAGGCTGAGTTTTGAACATCTGTCTGGAAGAGGTTATCCTTCTCTTTTGGCCCATAGACATGGAAATACAGCGGTAAAAGATCTTGTTCTGCTTTCAGTTCTTCTCTAGACTCTGTTCTCCAGGCTCCTCACAACAAGTTCATTCATTCTTGTAATTATAAGATGCCCAGGTAACTTAAGCATATTACATTCTCAGGACCCCTATTCTTATGATAATAATAAATCCCTGTAACCAGTAGAAAGCAGATCTGCTTGCTATCACATTGTATCAGTGATGTCACTTAAAAGGTGGGCATGTGAGTGTATAGTGGCCATGTCTGCCTTTGTTTATACAGTGGCCATATAGGTCTAGCCCAATTGCTCCACACAGCTGATATCAACCTAAACAAGTGGATGTGTGTCTTCTGAGGGATCTCACAGGTGGAATTTCATGGTCTGGAGACAGAGCCAGTCACCCCTGCTTCCATAGTGATTATTATTATTTCCATAATATCTTACGAGGGCTAAAGAAATATGCAAAATATATTCCCAGTAATAATTAAACAAAAATAATTCCACTGAAGCTCTGGGTATATATGTGGGCATGCACCATTATAATATAAATAAGGAAGATACATTCAGTTCTCACCATGAAGGAGGATATGAAGAGCTCTTTCTGATATGAAATACTTCTTTCATCATCAATATAACTACCTCTCAGCAGCTATTTAAAAAAGCAGAATGAATAAAAAAGAATGTTTATTTATTTTCCGTATTTCTATCTCAACCAAGTAAGGATGGACTGCCTGAGCAGATTCTCCTTCCTTCCCCCCTTCCTTCTTACCCCTGCCCAATCATCAGGATGACTGAGCTGTCAATCAAACAGCAGCTGCCACTCAAACGAATCAAAAGGGGGACAGGAGACAAGATGTCTGCCTGGGAGTTCTGCAGCCACAGGCCTCCTGACAAATAGAATAAACAGATCCCAAAGCCCAGGAGGAAAAGCAAAGAGTTGTACGAAAAGATAGGCTGCTGTGATGAGAAAGAGGCCACAGGAAAGGAGGCAGCAGCTGGGAAGGCCATTTAATTCTCTCATGCCAGGTTAAATACCCGCAGAAAGAGGCATTGGGTTCCTTCCCTCTGACCTGGCATGAGAGAAAATTTCTTCGAGCTGTTTCCCTCCGATGGAGCCAAGATCCCAAAGAGGAGAAGAGTCAAAAGCCCAACCAGGAACAAACAAGCAGAAAAAGGTGAAGAAAAAGTCAAGACTTTGACCAAACAGAAATAGAAAACAGAACCTGAAAAAAAGGTAAAAGAAAGGTTGAACTCTGAAGAAAAAGAGTATACTTCTGTAGGGAGTGACCATAGGGATATATAAGGGTTAAAACAAAAGAGATAGAGAGATCAGCAATAAACAAACACATTACAGATACAGAATGAAATGATAGGAAGATATAGTGAAATTGGACTTTAAAGAATATAGTGTAACTAAAGTGCCCATAAAAATAGTTAAAATAGAACATTGTTTTGGTACTAAGAAATCAGTTTGTAAAATAGTTGAAGCCATGTATAATTTACAATTCCTTTTTGGGGGGCGGGTAAGCTTTCTTTGTTTTGTAAAATCAATTTCCTCCAGCCATTAAAGGGAGATACAAAAAACCCAACCAGTTTCCAGTGCTTTGTGTCTTTACTGAACCTGGGTCAATCTGGCTATTAGTGGTTCAGAAAAGAACCCATGACACAGCTTATGTAGAATTAGTTCCCTCTAATTCTGTTTTTAGGTACTACCTGTGCAATTCATTCTGAAAGCAAAACAAGACCTCAAGACAGGTAGCAGGGTTTTGTTTTTTTTAAGGTTTAAGCTAAGTTCAATCAACCTCTAAAGCTGCAATGCAACTAGAATTGGGCTGCATCTCTTTGGAGGCCCATGCAAGACTATGCTGCTTAAGGTCTTGGGCAAGGCAGATCCTTTGGAGGACCTCCTTGGTTCATCTTACCCTGAATGACAGATTGGAACCCACCCTGTGAAGACAAATTGATCAAGACCTGATGTACCAGCTTTACTTATTTTGGGCCTCAATAAATCCTTAGCAGAACTCAGAACTAAGTCTAGGACTTGAGATATTCAGTCAGATAGGGCCCAAATCTCCTATCTCTGCTAGAATTGCCCCATCCTCCTACACTTAAACTAAATGGGGTCATGATTGAAGTTTACAACCATTTAAGCGTGAGGTAGGCTTACCACATTGCTTTGTCTATCCCTCCACTTCAGCCAATGAAGCAAAAGAAACCAGTTGACACATGGGTCCCAGGAGAAAAAGGTTCAGCTAGAGCCAGCGAAGCACCTCCTGCCCCTTCCAAACCACAGGGAAACTCACAACATTTTAGGTAGGAAAATGGAGCAGCTTTCCTGGTCAGTTGGACTACTCTGTAGGAATCTTCCCAAGTGAAATTTCTCAGGTGGAAAGGTGATCACCTGCCCCCACCCCCCAGTGCACGGTAGCCTAATCTGCTGGGAGTTGCGTGCCAATTGGTGGCGAAGTAAGCAATCAGCAAAGTCTGTGTCCAAAGCTGACAGAACCATACCTTCTCTCTTTTTGAAATAGTTTCTTCCCATTAGACATTGCTTTTCTCTCTCATGTCTGATATCCACTCTTTCTCCCCTTCTCTCTCATCTTCCCTTGCACTAGGAAGTTACCAGAGCAAGGATGGAGCCCTGAATTGTTTCAAGTAGGTGTATGAAGTTAGACCGAGGGTTTCGTATGGCTCAATCATCCTATTCGGCCAGCCCCGCTCTATGAAATGTTGTGCTAGTTCGCCTTCAGCCTGCTTTGATTTCTTTAATGGAACAAATAACTTTTTCTCACTCAGCATAAATAGTACATTCCTAAATGAATTCACATACCAAATCCTGCATTTTGATAAAACTTCAAGAAGAAAAAAACTTACTACAAATAGTACAATTCCATATAAATATTATTTTCAGCACTCAGTCACCCAATTCCACAGGGGCAGCACTGACCCTGATTAGTTTCTTTGGATGGATGCCAAAAAAGGTTTGCTGGTATTCTGAAATATCGGTATATATTTACAGTTATATAGGTTGAACATTCACGGAGGTATACACAATCCAAGATCACCCTCATTTTCATCACTTCTATCTCAGATTTCTAAAAAGATGGCTAGGTAGGTACATAAGGGAAGAAGCAGGCTTTCAGGTAACCTAGTTCTAAGCTGTTTAGGAATTCAAAGATCAAAAACAGCACTTTGAATTGGATCTGAAAATAAACCAACAGCCAGTGTAGATAACAAAATACTGGCAAAATATGTCCATATAGGCCAGTCCCAGTGAGTGGTCTTCCCACTCTATTTTGAACTAATTGACATTTCTGGACCATTTGCAAAGTCAGCACATGTAGAACGTATTGCAATAATTGAACCAGGAAGTTATCAGAGCATAAATAACCATTGTGAGGCTCCATGCCATCAAGGCCACCTGGGCTTCTAGTGACAGTGATGGATCTAGGAGCACCCCTACATACTGCAAACTTGCTCCTTTAGGCCAAATATCTCTGCCTTATCTGGATTGAGTCTCAGTTTATTGGTCCTCATCCAATCCATTGCCCTGGCCAAGCCCTGGTTCAGATCTTCAATCACCTCACCCATGTTAGATAAAAAGGAGAGGTAGAGCTTGGTATCATCTGTATATTGATGGTACCTCAGCCCAGATCCTCAGATGACCTCTCCAAATGGTTTTATGTAGATTTTAAAAAGCATAGGGGATAAAATAGAGCCTTGAGGAACTGCATATCCCAACTGCTATGAGGCAGAAGAGTAATCGTCCAGTACCACCTTCTGGAAATGGCCATCCAAGTAGAAACAGAACCACAACCACTGTGGACCAATATGTCAAAACTATAATAGCTCTAGGTACTAATAAGGCCAAACTGGGTGAAATTCCTTCTGGCGTATAAGGAGATCTGTGTATTTCTGGGTTAAAAGTCAAGGGAATATACCATAAAAGCTATGATAGCTGAACCTATTTCTTGCTCCATTTTCATCAGTACTGAGCAGAGAGATTCTCCTGATTTATTTTTCTACCAGTTCTCACTCAGTCTGTTGAAACAGAATTCACTTTGAAGGAAAAGTGAATTTCAGTGAAATTCCCACAGTTGGAGTGTCATTATGTAGAGGGAGCCCTGCCCTTGAGAAATTGTTGGAAAAGTTCTTCTTCCCTGGAAAAGTTCAGAGAACTTTTTAACCCAGTTACTCCCTTCACAAACTGGGTGGACAAAGAACCATTTATGCTCAGCTTCAATTTTCATAAGAATAGGATAAGAGATAAGAGATAATATTGCACTTACCACTATAAAAGAAAGTATAAAGCTTGTAACTGGAAACATAGGAACAAAAACATTTAATGCGTTTCTTATGTAGTCCTCTGTAATGAAACTTATTATGATCAAAACCAATACAACCTAAAATGAAACAAGAAAGTATTTTAATATTTTTTTAACAAATCAAATCACTTTATCCAATTTTCTTTCTCCATAATCTCTGTGGTGCCTTAACACACTATATGGTAATTTCAACTTAAACTATGCTAACATTTGTATTTGCTCATTGTTATCCATGTTGATCATGATTGCTTCCCTTTGTGCTTCCCTTCCCTCCTTTTGCTCCCATAATTAAACCTGCTGTGGAAAAAGGGATTTACTAGTTTTACTTTCTTCACCATTGAGTAATGCAACTTACATTTCTGACTGAAGCATCCTTTTGTTTGGGATGTTCATAACTTACATAGATTTGACATGGCACTGGACACTTATTCAATCATCAGACCATTTCCTGCTTAGTTCCCACCCCACTGCAATTTATGTGCTGGTGTCAGCTCAGGAATGCCAAGAACCAGGGGCAATGCCCTGGGACACAGATACTGTATACACCTTAAAGCTCAAGAGCACCACTACCTTGCTTATTCCTGAAATTTATCTTCCTGAATGCCTCAGGTCTTTGCTGTCAAGGTTACAATGACACCAAGAGGCATGTATACCCAACAAGTGTAGTGCTATGATGAAAGCAAAATCCTCACCCAGTGTCAGCCCTACAAGGGAGATTGGATCAGGAAACTCACTCTACAGAAAGACTCAAACTAAATTGTTTTGAGATAGGCTACAGCTGCAGAGTCTTCCAAGTCTGATTATGCTGTTCCTCCCCTCCTTATAACCCAATGAGTCGGGGAGGAGTTAGGCTGAGCCTCTTCTTAATACTATCTCCCTTACCAGAACTTAAGGAATGCTTCTGTCCTGCTGTCCTTCCTGTTTGTGTAACAGTTTCCAAATGTTTGCTTCAAGGCCATCTCCCTGTCTGTCTATACTCAACATGTGCCAAATAGCTAAAATTTCTGTCCCTCACAATTAACCTGGGTCCATAGGAAACAGCTACTACACCTATATACCTGGTGTGGGGAGGGAACTGGCACAGAATGGCGTAATGCTTAGTCTTCTTTTAAAGCCCAGAGGTAGACCATACAGGTCCACCTTTGAAAGCACAGCTTCCAGGTTGTAGGTTCTTCCAACTGGCCCAGGAGCCTTTCTGGCCAGTAGTGTGACCACACGGCCCTCCAGGCCACATATTCGTCATCCAAGAATACTTCAGGCTGCCTCCAACCATCCCTAGTTAAGAATAGGTCCCAGGCATATGGATACATTGGGCATATACTTACTAAAATAGAGATGACTGACCAAAAACTGGTGGTATGCTTTTTTTGGCGAAATACGAAGGCAGTTATGTATAGGAATAAGACAATCGATATACTGTAGCCAAGGAAAAATGCCACCTGCTCAAAAGAAAGCTCTGTATTAACAATGGGCTAATGTCTTACAAAAAGAATAGAAATGTCTCCTTCATTTTAATAGTTTATAATAATTACATACACATATAATGTTTTAAGTACTAGCAGCCTGTTTACCAAACTGGCATAGCAAGTATTTTGGTTGAATGAATTTAAACCAAATGAATTAGCTGATTATAAAACATTTTGTGACAATTTATGCAGCTGCAGGCCCTAGGCGGCAGGCCTTTTCTGCTGTGGCACCCGCACTGTGGAACCTTCTCCCCCATGAGATGAGATCAGCCTCAACACTCCTGAGTTTTCGAAGGTCCCTCAAGATCTGGTTATGTCAGCAGGCCTGGGAACCCCAGGGGACAGGTCAACTAGTAAGATGGCTCTATTATTAACATCCCTTTGCCTATTATTTTCCTTGTTTGTTTTAGTTCTGTTTTTATAGTTCTTGATGTTTTTAATAATTGCTATACAATGGTGTTATATAATGATTGTTTATATATTTATTGTTTTATTGGATTGTTGTACACTGCCCAGAGTTACTTTTTGTCAAATGGGCAGCCATATAAGATAGATAGATAGATAGATAGATAGATAGATAGATAGATAGATAGATAGATAGATAGATAGATAGATGCTCAGTCATCAACCCTGAACCTTTCCAGCCAGAGAAAACCCACATCCTTAAAAGAAACAGCATCAAAATCAGACCATCTTTGCATTGTGAAGGACAAGGACAGTAGCAAAGTAAAAATGATCTTAGGAAATGCTACTGTAAATCAAAGGTAGATTGGTCTGTACTATTTTGGGTCAATGTTTTTTCCTTTTCTTCTGGTAGACGTTATGCCTAATGTATTGTCGAAGGCTTTCACGGCCGGCATACAATGGCTGGTGTGGGTCTTCCGGGCTGTGTGGCCGTGTTCTTGAAGTTTTTGTGAATCTCAATGGCTTCCCAGTATAGCCTGGTATAGTGGTCCCGATGTATACGACCTCACCGCCGCAGGAGTATACCGCATACCATGCAGTTGAGGGCAAGTATACATCGGGACCAC